TCTTCTGGGCGTAGCTGAAAATGCAGCTCTCACGAGTGTTTTTAACGCCTAATCAGGCATATCGCGTACGATTGCGCTTCCTTGCCGTCGACAGGGCAACAAGGAATTGTTGGACTTTGTCCAAGAGATGCGCACTCTCACTGCCGGAATGGCAGATCCCCTTCCGGAGGCGGTCACAGTGACCGTCTTTATGGAAGGCCTTCGCACTGGCTTGGCCAGAATGGAAGGCCTCCGTGTGAAACCGTCCTCGTTTGATGGGGCGGGGAATGTGGCATTGAATGCTGAATTCAATTTCAATTCGGCACGACTTGGTTGGAATGCACACTCCAGCAGCTCGTCGAGCGAGACTATGCACATGGATTTCAGCTTTGCTGAGGACGAGGAAGCAGAGCTCCGAGCTGCCGGGCAGTACGCAAACATACGACGGCGTTTTGTCTGTGGGGACATTCGTCACCTGCGGAACGATTGCCCCCTGCGCAAGGTGCGTCAAGGTTCTTCGAACCATCGCTCCAACGCCTACCAGTATGGTTTGTCGCGTGGAAACGACACCACCCAGTAGGCGCGGGGCGACTTACTGGGGGAGAACTTAGCTCTGTTGAGCTTCAGGGAGGCATAGGTCAGCAGGGCCTAGCCCCGGAAGGCTCCGTGCTCTTGAACACGGAACGTGTATGCAAGCCGGGCCTGCTGGTCGTGGAGGCGACCGTAAAGATCTTCGAGAAGCCATGGAAGTTCCTCATCGATTCCGGGGGGTCGGGCAATTTTGCCCAACGCTCCACGATGGAAGAAGTCAGCTGTATGCTGAGATGCTGAAAGCGCGGTTGGGTGACATCGTCACTGTTCGACTAGCGACGGGGGCACCTGTCACGATCCCGAAGTGCTAGACATGGGAGTGTCCGAGTTGGTAGACACCAACGGTGTTTTTGACAGGTGTCCCGAGCGTGGCTCGCGGGCTGATCGTGGAGTGGCATGTAACCCACTGAGCGCTGCTCGAGTATCAAAGCAGTCATCCATGTCATGCGTGACATGGTCGGCCAAGGGCCGAGGCATCGAGGGCGAGGCCCCCGTGATGCACGTGAAGTGGCACGTAAACTACAGAGCGCTGCTCGGGTATCGAAGCAGTCGCTGGATGTCATGCGTGACATGGTCGGACAGAGTCCGAGGTATCTTGGGCACAGCCTTTCAGATGCGCGTAGAGTGGTACGTAGACGATGACGCACAGTAATACACCCTCGTCAACGGTATGACGGGGGAGGAAGTGGGCGACGTCCGCTTGAGGCTATGCCTGCGATAGATGCTCTTCTTGAGCTGGACGAGATGTCCCTTGAAGAGTTCGGCAGTGCCTTAAA